ACATTTCACTTAAAAATACAGGTAATACTGTTGAAGTCAGTGTTGGAGATATTAAAGCCCACTTATCTGAGGGAAATAGTCACATGTTTCACTGTCTGCCCTCTGAGTTACACAGTATGACCTAATTTCTTTCTAGAAAAATTGTATGCATTCAGAATAATTAATATTCCCTCTTGAGATCTCTACTAAGTTAGTGTACTAGAAGAAACAAAATTATTTCTTTATTTCCCCCCTCATGCTTAGCCTGATCTCTAACTGCAAATAGCTGTTGAGTCAACTTTTGTTTTTCCATGTGATAGTGATCGGCACTGCTATCAACTCTTGAGAGAATTTTTTTGTAACAGGTCACTGAAGTGCACTAGAAAAAATCTTTTGTGTCTTCTGACGCTCACTGTTTCAGTTTTCTGACAGGCTTTTTGAAGGATGCCATGGAAGTTTGGTATAATTGCTGCTCATTTCATTGAGGTTAGGATGTGTTGATCACCAGGCTGCTTTGAAAATCTAGCCTTTAGAAAGGATTTACAAAAGCAATTAAGTGACCTGGAAGCAGTATTTCTCTTACAATTCACAGGCAACAGAATACAAGTGAAGGTGGAAAAATGAGGGAAAATAGATAAGCATTTAGACTTGTGAGTGACTTTGAAAATTCCCCTATATTTAGGATCAAAGATTAGACTTATCTGATAGTTCTTCTTCTGTGTTTCTTCTCCTGTTTTTGAATTGCTTTGGACTGTTCAAGCAAATCCTGGGGATTTCTACTGCTCCTTGTAGCTTGTGAATGAATGTACACTAGTTAAGATTGAATGAACTTCATGAAGTTTAATGTTTTGAATTATATCTTTATTCATGGTGCATATTATCTTTCTTGAAAATAATCCTAATAAATTCAGTAGAAATCAGCCTGAGAAATAGTCTGCTGTAACGCCACTAAGAATTTGATTTGAGTCTGATACAAGACTATAGCAGCTTTACACATAGTAGAAACATTCAAAAGCTGTTCCACTGAAGCAGTCAATATAAGAAATGGCATTTGATTGCCTAGTTCTCCATAGTTGTATAGATAAGGCTGTTATTAAAATAAAAATTCTTTCTGTTTTTTATGAAAAGGAGGATGTCTGCCTTTCTTTGATTTCAGATTATATATGATGATTCTACATTGCGATTTCCAAAAGGACTCCCATCATGTGTGCATCAAGTCTGCCAGTATTGGGTTGAGCAGGTTTTGTCATTCACATGCCACATTTGCTGAGCTCTCAAGCTTATGGGTTGTTTTTAAAACATGGAAATAGGTGAAAATACAGCAGCAGTCAGTATTCAAAAGGAAAGGGTGTTGGGTGAATTTATGCATTTTACTGGAGCATCACTAGTTCAAACTTCGGGAATGTGAAGCTGCAGCTGGAGTGTTGAACTGCAAGTCTGAACATGCTGGGCATAAAATATCTCCATATTCATGACACAGCAGAAAATTGTGTGTCATGAAAAATTGTGTGTCACCTCATGTTTTCATAAGAAACCACTTTATTTCAATCTTTTAAGAAAAAGTCAAAGGAAATACTTTTCTTTTAAAAAAGATAGGGTTAAGTTTTCCTTTAAAAAAGCTTCCAAAATACTCATTTGTCTTCATTTTTATGAAGCCATTACCACTGACAGTGCCTTAAGATACTCAATTTTGTCTTTCTTCCCCTTCTTTAAAGGCAAAGTAATGAGATTTAATTGCATCAAAGTATTGGAAAGAATCAGAAAACAGCTGAAAGGAAGGATCTTAAAAAGTAGTAAATAGTATAACTTGGTCTTAAATGTCTTCATGAAGTGAAAACCTCAAGTTTCAAAATTACATTAATTGTTTAATTTGTTTTTCTGCAGGCGTAGGGTCAGGTAAATCATGTACCAAAGAAAGCAGTATGGGAATGGTATGGAAAGAAAAAAAATAATTCAAATAATAAGGCACATGAGCAGCGTGAATGCATAGAGGGGGAAATTAATTAATGCCCTCCAGTGGCATAGCCTGAAACTGTGTCACGGCATTGGGCTGGATTAATGTAAATGGCATGACAGCATGATTCTAGCAGTTGTACTGCTGCTAATTGTTTGTGTTCATGGCTTAATGATGCTCGAAAGAAATGGTGCGTTTCTCAGTAAAATACATCTCACTGACACTTAAGCCAGCATTATGTTCAGCACTGAACTGAGTGACTGTGAGCTGCATGTAGCTTCTTTGCAAGTGTTTGAAGCAGTGGTAGCCTTTGAGATTCCCTGAGGGAAAGAGAGTGTTATTCTCTTGATTTAAAATGTATTACAACTGTTCACATGCTAAGCAACATATGCATTAGAGAGATTGCTGTAGGCTTGCAGGAAAGTTTGCATGTCTTACATGATAATACTTCCAAGTGCCTTTCTGAGCATGCCTGTGCATTTTGTCTTCCTTGCAGGACTTCTTTTTAAACTGGGATTGGCTTAATGGGAAGAATAAATCTTTAAATTGTCTAATGTGGATAAGGATTTATATTTCAAATGTCCTTTTTAAAAAAGAATATAAACATTCAGCAGCAGCACACACATAATTACCTTATATAGGAGCACAGGACAGAAAAATTGGTGTATCTGTAATTGAACATAGAGCCGTGGAAAAAGGCTGGCAATACCCACAAGATTCTAAGCCCAAACACAGGAGAGGTGCAGCTGTCTCTGGCAGTCTCAAAATCCATTGGAAAAGGCTCAAGGCAGAACCTTTAACATGACCCTAGGTGAGAGGACAGCAATGCTGCTGATGTCCCAGGTCTCTGCAACATTGGTGTCAGCATTAGTAAAATTCCCTTATATAACCTCACAGCACACATCAAACCCCAGTGATTTTAATGACCTGATGGGAGCAAAGGAGTCCCTGCTGGGCCCAAAACATTGGTTTGCTCAAGTGTGAGAGCTGACACACACCGAGTACCTCAAAAAAGTTGGTACCACTAACTTACACTAGTTTACCTTGCTTTACATCCTACTTTCAATTGCAGCAGTTGCACAGTTACAGCACTATCAGCACATACAATACAATAGAAGTTATCTCCCTGATTTTCCAACACCAAGATGCTGTGTGTAGACCAAGAGATGAAGAGCCCTTTTTCTCCCTCCATTTGTTTTTCGGAATTTTTTGGGGGGAGTTGATTTTTAAGTTGTAGATGGTGCTCATTGTGGGTCTGCACTGACAGGCTTTTGAAATTTTTCCCACTTAATATCCATGAAAAGGGAACCAAGGACCAGTTTGTTGGGATTTAAATTCTCACTGAGTCACATGGAAAGATTTCAGGGATTGTTGCTGTAACTGGCTCACCTTGTCTTGTGAAGAATTTTTAGCTGTATGTCTGGTTTTGACAGTCATTTTGAAGGGTGAGAAATGGCTCCATATTTGCATTTTTAACATTCATTATGGAGAAGCTAGAAGCCTGTGGTTTTCAATTGCCTTTCTAACAGTGGTCAGATGATGAAGACAATCTGTTTAACAGACTGGCATATAAGATAGCTCTCTCCGTATGTCACACATTTGCCATTCCATCTGCTGGGTAAGAAAGCCAGCAAAAACCCAGCCTGACCAGCCCCTTAGGTGATCTTCTTATTGTCTTCCAGAAAACACCAGAAAAAGTGACAAACTCATTTCAACTTTAAGATATTTTATTCCATTTAGTGCTTCCTGTTGTTCTTGATACTAAATATTGTAGTAAACACATAATAAGGATAAATCAAGTATTTGAAGTAAGCAGTACTTTTTGACCTTAAAGAGGGAAATATGGGAAGGTTGTGAGAATATGGTGCTCCTCACCAAGGATTTATAATAGGAACAATAAGCTAGTGCTTTTTATGTTTTTAGGTCAATTAGTGTTAGTGGAGAAGAGTCAGACTCACAGTATTGGAAAAGGATGACCATGATAGGTCATAGCATGAGTAGGAACAGGGACAGACAATGGGACAGTTCTCTGTGTGACAAAGAGAAATTAAGCAAAACACCAGTCTGCCAAACCATGTCTTTAATACACACTTTGATTGTAATGGAAGATAGAAAACTTTTTCAAGAATTGATTGGAACCAGGTGTTTTAACTATAGTCCAGCTACAAAGCTGGACAAGCACAGCAACTAAGGGAAAGTTCAGTTTATAGCATTATTAGGAAGTAAATACTGTCAGAATGCACCATGGAAATTTGAGCTTTAAGGAAAAGTGATTTAGTTAGGCAGAAGTCTGCCAGAAAACCCCTTCAATTTTTGAGAATTATTTGGAAAGTTAGAGGTGATAGTAGCAGTAGTTGATGATTTATTAGATGTTAGACTATAAGATGATCTGAAGTCACAGATGTGACCACTAGCTGCAAAATTGTTACTCAAACCCTAAATGGAGTTGGTCTTCTCCAGCATTTCAGTTTTATGATGTGATTAGAAAGGCATATACAAACACAGCACCGATTTGCTTTGAACTTTTTCAAGTAGCTCTTGCTGAAGTCTTCAAGTAGTGCACACAAAACTCTGCATCATTGCAGTCTATGAGATGCAGCCAAAGCTCTTATCTCAAGTGACAAGCAGGCAGGTACTGAGAAGCCCTTGGTGGATGCATTGTCCTTTGAAGGGACATCTGTGTGTGGCATTGCTACCATGCCCTGATCTAAAGTCAGAAATCCAGGTACAAGCTGGGGAAGTTCACTTTCCTGCTTGATGAAGCCTCTTCTTTCTGCACACACTGAGTGGGACGGCCATTTATTCTCAGTTCATGGCTCCATAAAAGGATGCTGTTTCTATAGCACAATTTTAATTTTTTTTTTTTAATATGAGAATAAATACATTATTCTTGAGCCAAAATTTATCCTTTGACAGGCACAGTTGTGCAGCATATGTTAGCCACTCAAATCTTAGTGCCATGAAGACCACATAAGAGCTTTAAGAAAAAAAAGGCTCTGCCAGAAAATGAAGTATTGCAATTTCCTTCTGTTGAAGCAGAGGACTTCCCATGCCTACATCCCTGCACTGATACTCTGGAACTGAACTTCAGTTTCTGTGCTATTTCCAGTTTTTGTCTGTGCTTGCAGAAGTCTTCAAGTACTAAGAGCTTCTCTTCTGTCCCTGACTAAGCTACTTGAAACTTAACTCTTATGAAGCACTGGAGAGAATAGAGAGATGGCTTCTATTTTTTTCCAGAAGAGCAGGTGTTGCTGAAACAGAATGTAAATATGGATGGATGCTGCTGTGATGAGAGCTTTATAAAAGTACGTATGATACAATAAAGGGCTACTTCTGCAGGGAAGGCTGGAATATGTTGTTTAAAACCTGGTAAAAAGGAGAGTTCAGCTTTTGATTTTTTTTCTCTTTTTTTTTTTTTTTTTTNTTTTTTTTTTTTTTTTTTTTTTTTTTTTTTTTTTTTGTTAATGCAGCATAAAACTTCACGGCAGGCTGTTCTAGGGCTGATTATTATCTATTGATTGTATTATACAAAGCATTGTATTACGTTAGCAGTGATTATATTATCTTGAGTATTACCCCAGAGGAGAGAATTTTCATTCCCTCCCTGCAGATCCCTAAGTGAGTGAAATCTTTTAAAGGAGCATACCTTAGCACTTTCATAGTCCTCATTAAAAATAAATAAATAGCAGATTGTTTTAAATAAATAAATAAATAGCAGAAGATAATTTTAAGGTTTGAGGAGTGAGAAACAATGAACCAGAGTCCACTGTGTGTTACAAATAAAGTTCCATTTAATCTGTAGAAACAGGTTTGATGAATAATATTTTAATTCAAGATTGAATTTTGTATGGGAGAGATTTGTGGTTGAAGACTTGAAAGTTAGATACTACTACTATTGTTCACACCTTTACAAAACAGAGATTGCAGTTATTAGCTTTGCTGTATTTTTCTTACTCTTAAGGTTTACTTATAATCTCATATTTCTGTATATGTTTTTGTGTGTAATTCTTTTGTCCAGAAAAAAATTGTTTTGTCCAGATCTCTGCAGTGATCTGTCTTTTTATGTTGTAAAAGCATGTCCTTGCAGTTACTTCAGAAATTGTTCCAATGCCTTCTCAGCTGCCTTTGTAGCTTAATGTGAACTCTTTTTTCCTCCTCTGGGAGAAAACTGGGATTTCAAATTCTTCAGTCAAGACAAAAATTCAATTCAGGTTTCCATCTCCTGTCCTAGATATAGAGTTACCACATATATTAAGAGGTGACTTACTTTAAGGCTTTTCTGTTGATTATTTTCTGTGTTGCATTTCAAACATGTTATAGGCTTTTTTTTGTAGTGGAAGGATTAAAAAGAGGGTATATAGGTGGCTGTGAACATTTGGGAAGGTAATGCCTGTATTATAGTCCCTATTTCAGTACATTTTCAAGCTTTTCCTAAAGAAATATGAACAACAAAAATGTTGGGTCTTATCTCAGAATGTTGCATAGCCCTGTGGATTTGACCCTTGCTCAGATAAGGCACTTGACATTCATTCTTTTTAACATAAAGATTCAAATCTTTTTTGTCTTCTGCTGGAGATATTTGATACTCTCCAGCATTCTCTGAACAAACACTTTGTGCTGAACATAAGGAAGTGTGTGAAAGTTACCTTCTCCTAAAGGGATACAGGGTTGTTTTATTTAGTTTTAACTTTAAACCACTTTTTTCCCTTTCTCAAAGGTTGAAGGATGAGTATTGTCTCTGACAGGGACCCTCATGACTGCAGTTTCTCAAATACAAAAGGCAACCATACAAATACCTACTTTATAGGGTGTTCAGCATTTTCTGTGGTGTTTATGTCTCTTTTCACCAGAGTATGGCTAAATTTGTTGTGTGTTTTGAAATTCTAATGGAGAATGGGAGAAGTTGAGAGTTCCTAACATAAGTTTAACTAAGTAGAAAAAATGAAATCAAAGTGAAGGGTGGGTGACAAGGTTTTGACAGATTCTGTGGTAATAAATATTTGAAGTATTTCCTTTCAGAAGTTCTTTAGGTTATTAGAGAATGTTCAGTTTTCTGAAACCTTAGTATTTTTTTTGCCTATTACAGTTATTTGATATTTTTGCAGCATTGTTTCATAGCTCATGCAAAACAAATTATTGCACTATACCAAATCTTCTACTTCCTGGAAGAAGGGAAGCTTAGCTTTGTGCATTGATCCATCTGTACATAATGTACTTGTGTACATTTGTAGTGCTCTGCTGCAAGTTGAAATGCTTTAAGCTGCATACAGAAATAGATTATACGTAATATATTGCATACTATAATATAATAAAATATATGCATAAGCACCTTTTATGCCAGAAAGTGTATTTTTAGCTGTTGCAGGGGTTCTTTTGTCATTGCCATCTCTTCTCCAGTGGCTCAAAATTGATTCTAGCATTTATGCAAATACCATATTCAGTGCTTTCCCTGCGATCATAACTTGTGACCTTAGGCTTTAATCTTCGCATGCAGTGCTCGCATACTTAGTGTTCACATTATTCATGCCTACCATCATTGCAAAGTCATCCAAATTGTATTTATGGAATTTATATGTGCCATGGTGTACTGACAGTTTTATGGGGGAAATTAATCAGAGCATCTAGAGATAAGTTTGTTACTTGCCACTTTCTTCTCATCTCTCTGCCCCATTATAATTAATCAGCTTTTTTTCTTTTTTATAGCAGGCTGACATAATTTTAATGATGTTTCTTCTGTGCAAGCTTTAATTATATTTTATAATCTATGCTACATTATACTTTCTCCTTCCTTGTGCTAACAGGGTGATAATCTGTAAAATGATGCTTGTCTTCAGGCTTGTGCAGACAAGGAGTGATGAACAACATAGACACAAGCTGTTTTTCTCTTAAAAGGAATGTCAGCCATCAATGTAGCTTTACTTGCTCTCAAGCTGATGATATTCTTGATGAAATTGAATTCAAGTAACATGGTCTGAAGTGAAAAGGGAATGGTATACAAAGGCTTATTATATTTACTTATTGCAAGTATGCCACATGAAGTAGAAGACACCAGAGTGTTCCTGATTTGTCATGCTGCATGTTTTCAGCAGTAGGATTTTAGCCCACATGTTGCTCTGAACTTCAAATCTTTTCCAGCATGATGACATGAGGCAGCACCTCCATTGATTCAGTGCTAAAATGGATTCACAAAAGCCACTGATGTAGGTTCACTGCTGAACATAGCAGGCATAGATTTATAGTTTAACTCTAGACAGCTTGAGTGTATTCAGCAAAGCTCACAGATGTAAATGACTTTTTTTACAAGTGTAAGACCAGATTTTGCTAAATCAGTGGTCTCACCAACCCTGGAGTATTCACAAGAATTTGGGGTTAATACCCTTTTTCAGTCTCACCTGGAAATCTTGGAAAGCAAGATTTTGGCATCAGTGTGCAACAGCATCAGTGCTTAACAATCTGTGATGGCTCAAATAGGTTGGATACTGTGATTTACAAGCCAAAGTTAAACCTCTGGTATCCAATGCCCAGCTGAACAGTCCAGGTGCAGAATGCCTATTATTTGCTAAATGAGAGGTAGGCTACACTTAAGGGAGGGTCAGCTTCTTTTGACCTTCTAAAGGAATACAGCTCAAACAGAAATCCTGCTCAAAAGTAGCTACTTAATGTAAAAGCACTGCTAGGATTTCATTTTTTTCAGAAAATAGGCACTTTGTGAACATTGCATCTAAATTCTGCAGTGTCTCTTGCCTTGAGGGATATGCAGAAATGTGTCAAATCAGGTCACTTCTACCTATTTATCTATTTAAAATCAGCACATTTGTGTTCACTGGGGTTGTGAGAGCAAAAATATGTCAAACTTCACATACAGGTTTTTAAATAAAGGTGGAGCAGTAATCCGGAGAAATGAAGTTTAACTTTCTATTCATAAATGCAGAGTTATATTTTTACAATTCTGCACCGAGATTTCAGTAAGGTAATCTCATTGCATTGCCTGGCATTTAAAATTCTTGTCTTGCTTAGGCTAACATAAATCAAGATAAACAAAAGTGGTTGCCTCAGTATCACAAAAAGCAGATGCAGAGTTTCTGATAAAGGACTAGACCTCAGATTTTTAATGAGTGATGAAGATAGGAAGACTTTTTTGCCATTACAAGCTTATCCATTTTTTAATTTACTTTTCTCTCACCTCACGTATAAGTGATCTTACCCTGTCCTTTTTTTTTCCCTTTCCCTTTTCCTCTTTTCACAGATACCTGGCTTCAGTTCACCCTTTGTTATTTATTTGCACTCACTCCTTTTTCCTACACTTTTTACATTTTTTGCACCCATTTATGTGACCATTTGCATTCTTTGCAAGGAAGAAGTGGTGCTTTCTATATGCTTGGAATATGAAATGCAGAAAACTTTACTTTCCATTCCAAACTTGATGAATAAGATTAAATTTTCTGCAGAATAAAATTTCTGCATATTTTAATGTAAAGCAAAAATGTTAAAATTTTATGTGGTTTTATGCTTTTAACAAAAAAAGTTGAAGAATGTTTTTTCACATTTATATTTTGCTAAAATCAGCATAGTGTTATAGGTAAATATCCTTTTTTCATAGCTGTAAAGGTATCTGAATGATAATTTAAATTATTGGATGTCAGGGGAACATCACTTATTTTACCATTTGATCTGAGGATTTAGACTGTTCTTAAAATTGATTTTACTTTCCTACAGCAAGAGTTAGTTGCAAGAGTTGGTCAGTCTTCCCTTAAAACTCTTCACAGAACATTGAAGGATGATGAGTGAAAATCATTAACCTTCTGCAGCTTTTTTCCTTTTTTTGCTTTATATGATTTTTTCCTTCTCCTGTCTCTAAAGCGCTGAAATTTTTCCTGTTCTTGAAATGAAGCTGAATTACAGTGTGATTTAAAACTTGTGGACAAGATTAAAAAATAGACTGGAGAGTCTCAGGTAGCCCTTGGCTGTGCATGTCTGTGAGATATGAACACAGCTTTAATTGCCATTTTCGTAACCCTGGTACGGATCAGTGGGATAGGAGCAGCTCATAGTGTGATTCAGGAGTAGAGGCTAGGCAACTACTGATACTCATTTCAATTAAAGGTATATTGAATATATTAAAGCAAGCTGCACCCAGCACAATGTTTCAGGTAACCATTCCATAGGAATCCCATAGGAAAGACTCTGTAATACTTGAGTCAGTTGAGAATAATTATCAGAGTGTGAAAGTTGGAGGTGTATGTGGGTGTGGTCCATTGCTGGTTAATAACTGGCAGAAATAAGAGAATCTCTTTTGTGATACCTT